ATAATATAGTTATAACATGTTTAACTTTTTGAAGAATGGCCAAATTCTTTTTCATAATGACTATATATATATATTTTTACATTCCTACTAGGAATGTATGAGAATTCAAATTAGCCTTCATGTTTGGCAGCACCTGTTTTTCCTTTAAAAATTATAACATCTGGGGCTGGAGGGATGGCCCAGAGATTAAGAGCATTGGCTGTTCTTGTAGAGGACCTGGGTTCAGTTCCCAAGACCCACATAGCAACTAACAGCTGTAACTCCAGTTCCAGGGGATCCGATGTCCTTTTCTGGCCTCCATGGCCACTGCACACATGGAGGCGGTATACACATACATACATGACAGGCAAACACTCATACACATAAAATAAAAATTAAAAAAATCTTTAAAAAATTTTTATAACATTCATTGGATGTGAAATACCTTACTGAGGTTTTGATTTTCATTTTCTTAGTAATTAATAATGTTGAGCATCTTTTTATGTATTGATTATGTGTCTTCTTTGCATTCAGTTGTTTTGCCTATTGTATATTGGATAGTTTATATTTTCATTGTTTAGTTGTGAGAATGTTTTGCTTAAATTGAATATATAATTAATTGTACATATTTATGTAGTATAGTGTGCTATTGTAATACCTTTATGGGATGTTTAATGATCAAATCAGGTACTTGATATATCTGTCACCTCAGACATCTATTATTTCTTTGTGATACATTCAGTATCCTCTCTAGTAGCTATTTTGAGGGAATTAAAAAAAATATTATGGCTATTAGACATTCCCCTAATGACTGATGGTATTGAGCATCTTTTTATGTGTTAGTGCATTCAGGTCAGATGTGTGCAGATGTGTTTTCCTATTATATGTATTGTTTTCTGTTTCTTTATAGTGGCTTTTGATGTGTGAAAGAAGGTTTTAATTTTGATGAAGTCAGGTTAATCAGTTTTTCATTTATTGTTGTTGGTTTGGGAATAACATTTAGCCCTTGCTTGCTTTCAACCTGTAGCTTCAACCTCTTCGTACATTTAGGTTTCAGATTTTTCTTTTTGCAGGGTTGTCTTTTTCCTTTTAAGAACAAAAAAATTAATTAATTAATTATTTTTTTGTTTGTCTTTTTCCTTTTAAAAAATTATGTTTCCTGAGCGTGGTGGTGCACGCCTTTAATCCCAGGCAGAGGTGGTCAGATCTCTGTGAGATTGAGGCCAGCCAAGACTACATGGAGAGCTCTAGGCCAGCTGGGGCTACAGGATGACTCTCTCTCTCTGTCTCTCTCTCTCTCTCTCTCACACACACACACACACACAATGACTTCCTGAGTTCTTGCTTTATAGGCCATTCTTTTTTTTTTTTTTAAATTTAAATCACTATTTATTTGAATGTGTGCATGGCATTTGTGTGTGTGGAGGTGAGAGGAAAACTTGCAGGAGTTGGTGTTCTCCTTCTACCATGTGGAACCTGGGGATCAAACTTAGGCTGTCAGCCTTGGTGACAAGTGTCTTTACCTGCTGAGCTAGCTTGTGGGACATTGTGAAGAAACTCAAAGGCCCTGAGTTCTAAGGTAATTTATAGGTGTCTTTGAGAAAAAGTCTATTGGCCTTAGAGGGTCATATTCTGGGTACTGGTAATTAAGGCATGGGAAACAATTTGTTAAGCTTTGGGGTATGAGAGAATGATGGAGTAGGTTTCATTTGTTTTACATTTAAAAAAATTATTTTTCTTTTATGTGTATTAGTGTTTTGCCTGAAAACATGCAAGAATACCACATGTGCAATGTCCATGGAGGCCAGAAGAAGGTGTTGGATTCCCTAGAATTGAACTTTATTGCCTTTCATGAGCTGCCATGTGGATGCTGGGATCTGAACTTGAGTCCTCTGCAAGACCTGCAACTGCTCTTAACCACTGAGCCACCTCTCCAGCCCTTTATTTTTTAATTTCTGAAAACTTTATTATTGTTGCATAATGACTTTTTAAAACCCTGGATATGTCGACAAAAAATTGTCACTGTCATATAATGTTAACTACCAGTATATGCTAAGATTGAACTTTGAAATGATTAAGTTTGAGAGTCCCTATTTGACCACTGAGTCTTCATGACCTAGGTAAACATTTGAAAGATTAGGGGATAGACAGGATCTAATTGAGATGACCCTTAATAAAATATCTGACTCATTGGACAAAGAAAGTCTCTCAAGTTTGGTATAAATGAAAGGAAACTTGAAGGAATCAAATTAGATCTTTATTAAACTACATTCATGGCAGTTTTTCTATAGTCGACAGTAATTCTTACTATTGAGGATGGTGATTTGCTACATTCTCTCATGAGATGCTGTCCTTTAGGGTTTCTAAGCCCTAGTAACTTCATAGCTAATTGTTCATCATTTTTATGAATAGAATTGTGGGATTAGGTTTATTGTTTCTCCTTCCTTTGTGCAGTTTAAAAATGTCATAGCATACACTTTTCTCTGCTTTAAGACAATTCTTTCAACAATGGCAAGTTCTGCTTCAATACTGATTCTGAAAGTTCCAGAAAAGGTCCAGTTTGCTATTTTGAATAGTTAGCTTTTAAAATATGTATCTTACTTCTGTTATCCTAGTTCTTGGTTTTTAGACGTATTTAACGTTATATAAAATATGTGTGCTATTTTTTACTCTACTTCTGTATCAGATTTAATTTCAAATATTTAATTTTAATTGCATTGTTTAAGGGATTGGGGGAGGAAGAAGGAGAGGGAGGAGAAAAGGGAGCAGAGAAGAGAGGAGAGGACAGGACAGGACAGAAGGGAGGGGACGGATGAGAGGAGAGAGAATGTCTTTTTTGGGCCATAAGGAAATTTAGTAATTCTTGTTTTAAGGATTTGCTTTATTTTATTCATACATATTTTTTGAGACAGGGTCTCTGGCCCAGGCTGGCCTCAAGACTCCCTGTGTAGCCAAGGGGGAGGGCCTTACCTTCGTCTTCCTGGTGCTGGGTTGCAGGCATGCACTCCTATGCCTGGTTTTATAGTGTGCTGAAGATAGAATCCTCGGCCTCCTGCATACTAGGTAGGCAAGCACTTTACCAATTTAGCAAATCCCCGTTCCCAACTTTCAGAAATTTATCTTAATGAAATAATGGACTTGATGATGTTACACCATTTTCTCTTCAGCAGTGTTAGTAATAGCACTAAACTGGTACAATGGTAAAATCCAACGTGAAGTTTTGGTCAGTAATTATGGTGCAGCAGTCACAGTCATTCTTTGAACTATTTGGCATCCATTAAGATCATGTTACAGGAGATCACTTGATGCTGGAAACCATTTATAACACATTATCAAAAATATGAATTGTGAAACAGTCTGAACAGTGTTCTCAGTTCTTTATGAAAATGTAGGACTTGAAGAGGGTGTACCAAAGTATTAACTGATTATCTGTGCATGTTAGGATTTTGATCAGCTTTGTCTTAAAGGAATCGTGTATTGCTTTCATATTTTGAAAAATGCTGAGTTCTGTGCTATGTCACAGATCATTTCAATAACTTCTTACATCTTATGTGTTAAAGACTTCATTTATTATAGTTTTCTATAATATTAGTGTTAACTAAACTCATCTATTTCTATACTCCTTTGTTTGCAGAGATGATATAGAATCATCCTATTATGATAAAGAACCTTTGATTTGTGGTTGGTAACTTTATTCCTTTAGATTATGGTAATATTGAGCCCTGTGTTTATTTAGCCTGTTATAATTGCAGACAACTTTCTGCAATTTCATTCTGTTAAGAGAATGGTCTCAGAAATAAAAGGCTCTTTTTCTTTCCTGAAAAGAGTAATATAATTAGTATTCTTTTGTTATATATATTAATTTGCTAGGGCTGCCAAAAATGAAATACCACAGACTGGTTATGTCAAACAACAGAAACTTACTTCTGCAGAGTTGTGGGATAGAGGTTTGAGATCAAGGCATTGTCTGGTTAGGTCTCTTCTCAGGCCTATTGAATTGCAGATTGCCCCCTCCAGCTGCCTCTTTGCATACATGCCCCTTCTTGTCTTTCTCTATGTTCTAATCTCCTCATTTTATAAAGACACCCATTGCATTAGATTAAGGACCACCCTAATGACCCCATTTTTAGTTACCTTTTCATGACCATGTATCCAAATAGAGTCACATTCTGACATACTAGGGCTGAGAACTTCAACATATGAATTGTGGGAACACACAATACTAAGTTTTAATGAGAAGGTTAAAGTAATGTTGATAAAATGAATTTTCAATGACTTAGTAATTATATTATAAACAATTAAAATATCATAAAGTAGAACTACAGCTCTAAATAGGGGGAATCTGGAAGACTATAGCACTACTTTTTTTTAAAATCACTAATTGAAAAATAATTCAAACCTTATGAATCATTGCCAGTTGGATCTCTTTCTATTTGAAGAATAATAACTTTCTTAAGTATTACTATGATATAAGTAATCTAGTCAAATATTTGGAGGGCTGTCCTGTGAAGAGAGAGTAGAACTAAAGGAGATAGAATTAAGATTAGGGGCAAATGCAGTGAAGGAGTTTTGTCCTGTTAATGATTGGAACTGCTCATAAATGGACTGCCAACCTGGTGATTGGTTAGTTTTTGGTGACAGTATTTCAATTTGTTGCTCTATTCTAGCAGAACTTTATTACTGAGTGTGGATCTGGAGGGTGACTTTTTTCTTTTTTTAATTCTAAACTTCTTTAAGTGTATAGTCTTTAAGAACTTGTCTGTATGTAATTATAAAAGTTTTATAATTAAAAAATGTAGTACTTTAAGATGTTGGTTACTACTTAAGGGATATTATTGCATCAAATACTCTAAAGAATGTGTTCCTTTTCCTTCTCCCTCTAGTGAGTAGAAGATATTTTAAAAATATAACATGGAAGGGTTCATTAGTGTTGGATGTATCACAGTACAATCTCAGCTTTAAAAAAATCAGAAATGCTGTTATTTCAGAAATGGTTAATAAAATACCCCATTCCTTTGCAGGCATAATAGTGGATCCTTGAATGTTGAAGATGTTCTTACCAGCTTTGACAATACAGGAAATGTTTGTAAGTTATATGTTAACTATAAAATACATAGAGTATTTTATAAAGCAAATATATAGTTTTCTCACTAATGTTTATTGTACTTGTGTGTGTATTATATGTGTATGTGTGTATATACATATATGTATAATAGGAACTCAGTGCCTTTAGTTGTAAAGCATGGTTTGCATAAAATGCATATTAAATGGGATATGGCAGTTTCACACTTTGCAGGGATGTATGTGTCTGTGTGTGGCAGGATGCAGACGGAAGGGGCTCTAGACCCTCCTGTACTGCCCCTTTTGTTACCCGTTTCCATTGTGACTTTCTCAGGTAGGTGGTAGGCTCTAGTAGGTGGTCTCTTTCTTCCCTTGCTGTGTTCTGGGGTTGCTATTCTGTCCCATCTTTTTTACCCTTTTACTACAGATTAAATCCAGAACATGGTTTTCTTCATACTAATATACTTTAAAACCAATGTTTTTGTTTTATATAATATAGAACTATTCTCTTTTCATCTAAGTCTCTGATTAAGTGATGACCTATTTCTCTGCTGAGAACTTCACTTAAACGATTCTAAAATAATGTCATATGATGAAAGCAATCAGCCAAGAATATCTTGGTGTCACAATTAACAACATATCATGATGAGAGCTTTGTTATTTCTAATTTATTGCATAGGATATCTATTTTAAGAATGAATTGTTAGTGAAATATGACCATCTTAAATGTAAAATAACTCAATTTTTTTTCTCAAAAGAAATTTCAGTTCTATGTTTATTGTTTTTACTTAAGTTATGAACTTTGCTAATAGTACTGTTTTATCAAATGCATGAATTTGGACTGAATAATGTAGGGATAGTAATTTTATTCATTATGTCCACATTATAGCTAACTCTTGCTTATATAGAAAAGCTGTATTTTGTCACTAAAGAATTGAATGTTCTAAAATTATGCTAAAATATTTCAAATGAGGTAGATTTCTTTTTCATGAACAGTAGCAGGCTTATCTTTCAGTTTCTGCATGTTGCACCTACTGAACTCTGACTTGAGCTTGTCTGGTAGTTTATTAGACATTAGGCAAGGACTGGTTAAGAGATTTTAATGGTGGTAGAGGAGACGTTCTCTTCAGTACTGGAGTAGTATTGAATATCATTAAGTCAGCCCTATGAATACACAATTTTAGAATATGATCCTGGAATGAGAAATGCAGAATTTTTGATTCAGTAACAGAAAACAATCAAGTATTGTTCTCCTGACTCAGTATAAAATAGGGCCACTAGCTGGCAGCACTATATAAAATAAAAATAGTTTTGTAAAGGTCCAAATTATTATTTCACACATGAATGACCATGATATCCTTAACATTTTCCCCATCTTCTCCTTACCTGCCCCATTTGCATTAACAAATGGAGAAATTGTGTGTTGGGTAGGAAACTTTGGAATGAGTCATATCTACATTTGAATCTTAACTTAGAAATTCATGTTGAGAAATTTGTGTAATCTCTGTGAGCCTAATTTTTATTCATTTTTAAGGACTACATATAATGCATAGACACTATAGAACACATTGCATTCCTCCAAGTCAATACTCAGTAAATGAAAGCTATTTATTAACTGTTGCTGGTGATGAGTTCCTCTTGAAGTTGTTTCAGCGTCTTCTAACAGAATGCTAATGGTTTTAAATGTCAATTTTTTATATTGCTATGTATGGTTTAATTAAAAATAAGTTTAATTCAAAAAGAGATACTCAGAATTACTCTGTTTTAAAATGAACTATTTTGATTGAACTAAGTCAGGAAAATTAGATAATAAAATTACAAAATAGTTTATTAAAATGTTTTGTCATAAACAGATTCTTAACAACTTGAAAATATTGACAAATCATAGAAGTAGTATCATAAATAAGGCTTATTAAGAAATGTTTTATATAACTTTTGGTGTGTGGGTATCTGTGTGAGTGTGTGTGTGTGTGTGTGTGTGTGTGTGTGTGTGTGTGTGTGTGTGTGTGTGTGTGTGTATGTGTGTGTGGTATATGTGTATGAGTAGTTAAGGTTGGGAGCTTTCCCCTATTACTCTCCACGATGTTCCTTGAGGCAGGGTCTCGAGGCAGGGTCTCTTCACAGAACCCAGAACCTGTCTGTTCAGCTAGGCTCACTAGCCAGCTTGCTGCAGTCTCTGTCTGCCTTCTGAGTGCTGCAGTTACAGGTGGGCTGCCATGCACACTCTGCAATTGCATGAGTTCTGGGGGTATGAACCCAGGTCCTCATGCTTGTGCAGAAGTACTATATCCACCCACTGAACTGTCTCTCGAGCCCTATGTAACTTTTATATTTATTTATTTTAGTTTTCATACAGGTATGTGTTATATGTTGAGCATATTGCCCTCATTCTCTCCTCCCTTCTTTTTTGCCCCTCCCCCTCCTTTTAGTCCCCTTGTCTGCCTAGACAGTTCTACTTTCCTGTTACATATATGCATGCATGATTTTATGTGTCTATATTTACTCTTTATTTTAAAAGAAAAATCTATTGAAGTTTCACCTAATGATAAATAAATAGATAATAGATTTCATTGAAGTGAATGCTAGTTGGAACTATGTAATCTTGGTCATATAGTAATTATGGACTGAGAAAGTAATTTTTCATTTGACACTTAAAAGTTTGATTTTATTGTAATAGTGGTACTTGGTTGAGTTTGTGAGACAGAAACCCAGCAGAGGGCGCCACAAGCATAATTCTGTTTCACAGCACAGTACAATTAGAAGCTTTAAGATTAACTAAGTTCACTATATAGGTAAAGTTATGTTTACAAATACTCATTTGATTTATTTCTAATATATTTGTATCTACCAATCATTAATATAAAATAGCTTTCACCTGTCTAACTTTTGAATTTATTTTGTTTTTGTTTGAAATGTCAGTTTTTAATTCCTTTTTTCTTCAATTTTTTAAATTCCTAGCTTTAAGTAAGGTAATACTTTTTTTAAAAACTTTAAAATTTTTAATTGAATTTTTGAAATTTTCATACAATATAATTTGATAGTATTTAGACTGCCTCCCCTGTCCCCTACTTATTGCCCCAGCCCAATTTAATGTACTCTATTATATATATAATAAGGCCTATACAGTCTAATTTGTGTCACCAAATGAAGTAAAGGAAACTTTTGATCTTTTAATCCTAATGGAGATGTGAAGTTATGTACAAGAATATCAGTTTCTAAAGAACTATCATGATAGTATGCCAAGGGATATTTAAAATGAGAGAAAAACCTTTCTCGTATAAGATAAACAGTGGATACAATTATACATGTTCTGCAGGTTAATCATACTTCTTCTCTTTTGGTCTTTTTGAGACAGGGTCTCCCTGTAGCTCCAGCTGGCCTAGACCTCACTATGTAGACCAGGCTTGGCCTCGATTTCATAGAGATTCGTCTGCCTCTGCTTCCCAAGTGCTAGGTTTAAAGCCATGTGCCACCATGCCTGCTGTAATACTACTTCTTAATAGTAGAAAAATAATTAGAATATTTTAGAGTCACAAAAATCTGATGTGTATATTTGGTAAGCACAATATTTTCATGGTTTAGAGCCGTTCATCTCAAATTTAAAAATCAGGTAGCAATTATAGTCATTGTAAGTTTCCAGAATTTGTCATGTCCTACCAAAATGATAGGAGAAAATATCCCTAGCTTTGGAAAACAAGTGAAATCTCTAATTCTTAATTTCCTGATTTATTGGATTGGAAAAGAAAATCTTCTCTGTATTTACTTTTGTTGTTTAGAAGTTTAAAAATATGCTGGGCATGGTGGCGCACACCTTTAACCCCAGCACTTGGGAGGCAGAGGCAGGTGGATCCCTCTGAGTTCAAGGCCAGCCTGGTCTACATAGTGAGTTCCAGGACAGCTGGGGCTACAAGGAGACCCTGCTTCAAAAAGCCAA